CCGTGCCCAGGGCCCTGCTCGCTGCCCACCGCCACCACCTCTGCCAGACACCGCAGAGGAGGGGTCATGGCCAAGGGTACACTCTAACAGCCTGAGGTGTTATTTTTATTTTTATTTTTTTTCCCTTCTTCTCCTTTGATTTTGATAGAGGAAATCAAGTCTGATACTCCAACGAGCAATTGGCTAACTGCAAAGAGTGGCAGAAAGAAGAGGTGTCCTTATACTAAACACCAAACACTGGAATTAGAGAAAGAGTTCTTGTTCAATATGTATCTCACTCGAGAGCGCCGTCTAGAGATCAGTAAGAGCGTAAACCTCACTGACAGGCAGGTCAAGATTTGGTTTCAAAACCGCAGAATGAAGCTCAAGAAGATGAGCAGGGAGAACCGAATCCGGGAACTGACCGCTAATCTGACCTTCTCTTAAACCCTAACCCCGGGGGGGGCACCAGTGAGGAGTGGGCACAGCACCGCCACTTGCTAAAGGCAGGAGAGACTCTGGCAAAACCCGGCATTTTCCAGTTTGGTTTTGGTTTTGGTTTGTTTTGGGTTTTTTTTTCTGATAGAATGTGACTCTTCGTCCTTCTTTTAGCGCTGCAAGTGACTATGTATTACTATGATGAGTATATATAAAACCTAGCACGTGTAATTTATTTTTGTTCTCATCGTAATGCAGGGTAACTATTATTGAATATTATCATTTGGTCTTAACTTATTGGAACTGTCGAACGTCCAAGCAATGTGACTTTTTCATGTTTTTACTAACAAAATGGTATTTATGTGGGGCTGTTACACGGGCCATAACGTTTTGAGTACATTCAATACTTTAAGAAAAAGGAGGGGGGGGAACTTTGGGGGCGGGGGGAAAGAGAAGCACATTATAATGTAACTGTCCTCGCAAATGAACTAGAAATTGTCCTTCGTAAAATGGAATATTTCCTTCTTCTCCATTGTAGACATTTCCTTGTGGTGCATATGTGGAATAGTAGTCGTTCAGCAGCAATATGTCCTCTTGTGCATGTTCTGTTCGCATGTATAATGCAATAAACTCTGTAAACTACTGCGGTTCCTTTGGTTTTCTGCAAATGTTTAACGTACGGACGCAGGTCGGTCTCTGATCTTTCTCTACCAGCAACTCTTTGAACTGGTGTACCTTCTTTGCCATTTTCTGGTCTTTGTGTGTGTCTGCCTGGTTTTCTTTCTTTCTTTTCCCCCCTTCTCTTTTTTTTTGTTTCCCCCCTTCCTTTTTTTAGGGGTGGGGTGAAGACTGGGGCTGGAAATGATGTAAACCTAATTAATTTGTAATTGTGCCTGTAAACAAATGATTAATTGATAAAATGTTGTGTGATGTTCTCAGTCTGAAAAGAAGGGGAGGGTGGGGGGGGGGGGGGGGGGGGGGAAGAAAGAAAAACGTAGTAAAATATTACGACCTAAACTGGACATCCTCATCCAATCAACTCGTAAATGGTAAGTGATAAAGTATCTTTCTACTACAAGCTGTCAGCAATATGTGTGTCATTTTATTTGACGGTCGTATGTTGATTTAAAAAATATCAGTCACTGTGTGCTTGCAATGTGTAGGCTTTGATTTCGTGTCTTTACTCGCTTAAAAAAAAAAAATCTTACCAAATGCAAGGCTGGGTATAAGCAAATGTTAAAGAGTTTCGTTCTTGGTCAGCTCAAGAACTTTCAGAAGATGGTGGATGGGAAAATATTGCCTCAAACATCTGGCAGGGTTGGCTTTTTTTGAGGAAAAACTCTGCCAAGCGTGCTTCCCAATGCACACCAGCCTCTCCAGACCTACTTTTGTCGCCCTGCACCGTTTCTGTTTGCTCAGAGATGGTTTTATTTCGCGCAATTCCCTTTTAGTAGCACACATGCAGACACCGAAGTTCACGACTCTTAACCCTTTCCGTACATAGCTGAAAAATGTTCCTAGCAGGGCTGGAGCTGAGGAAGGGCGTTGAGTGCGAGAGAGAGCGCGGGTCGGTGCCTGTGCGAGCA